AATGTAAGCCTGGCTTTACACCATGTAAGCCTGGCTTTACACAATGCAAGTGGGTGATTAATACCAGTCCTGTAAAGAGGAGGTTTCACTCTATCAGTATGGTCTTTACTGAGAGGCTTGCTATCAACAGCGCATCCAGATCAATACAAGGTATTAATAGGCATCCAGGGTACTAAGACTCACCTGGGATTGATTTGGTTATTTCCCAAAAGGGAATGGGCTAACAATACTTATTAAGCTTTAACAAAATTAGTTGAAGATTAACAGGTATTGTTGATGGGAATATTCAGCAAGGCTATGAATACTGTGGATAAGTTGAGTAAGAGTACTGAAGCTTAAGAACAATAAATGTAGACAAGATTTATGTTGGTTACGTGTACTGTATCAATATAAATGTTAGCTGGTTTAACTGGTGTCTGAATATTCTGGGGATTAATCCGTGAAAGAGGCACGGATTACAAGTTCCAGAATACTGAAGGAGGGAAAGAATGAGCGCTCAGAATCAAGGGAGCTTTGGCCAGGAGAATGAGCACATCAATTGAGTGACTGATCATTATTTGTCATGATCTGTAAGTGACATCATAATTGTGTACTAGTTGCTCTTGATGTGTACTTAACAGATCCTCTAATAATGTAGTCATAATTGTGATCAGTGCATGTATTGAATGTATTAATTCTATTGACACTTAATACTTACTATTTAATACATGTACATATTTATTTGTAATAATATTTGACCGTGAAAATACTGTAGAAGAGGGATAACTTGTGGTACAGGTATTTCACAGACAAAGGAGTGAAAGGTAAGTGATAATTACTTATGTAGAACACAGATATGTATTTAATAGATAAGTAATTTAACAGATAAGATAAATATAAGATAAATAAGATAAGTTAATAATAATGATAAGATAACAAGAGGTAAAGGTAATCAACATTATGGATAAGTACTTATGTACATAAGTACAGGTGTTGCAGTTACTTGGTACATGAAAGGTACTGTGACATGTACTCTGTGGCTGACACCAGGCTTTACACCATGTAACCCTGTGTTACACCATGTAATCCTGGCTTTACACCATGTAAGCCTGGCTTACACCATGTAACACCATGCTTTACACCTTGTAATCCTGGCTTTACACCATGTAAGCCTGGCTTTACACCAGGTAACCCTGTGTTACACCATGTAACACCATGTAACACTTCGTTACACCATGTAACACCATGTAACACTGCGTTACACCATGTAACACCATGTAACACTGTGTTACACCATGTAACACTGTGTTACACCATGTAACATGTTACACCTGACTTGTCAGACATACCTGTCTGACAAGTTTGACTTGTCAGACATAACTGTCTGACAAGTTGGACTTGTCAGACATACCGTCAAACTTGTCAGACATACATGTCCAATGAGACAGAATCCTAGGACTTGGAACTGTCAGACATGTATGTTTGACAAGATATCATGTCAGCCAGATGGTCTGACAAGCTCACTGGTCAAACCAGCCTGCCCAACAAGTGGGAACTGGTTGGACAGGCATGTCTGACGTGTTGTTGGACCAAAGATTCTGATCAGATGGTCCAAGGACCCATCAGACAGCCCTGTTTGACGTCAGGGAGGTCTCATCAGTCTGACATGTTGTAGGACCCACTTGTTCTGGGACTCATCAAGCAGACTGGTCTGACCTCTAGTCAGGCATGGGGGGTCTGACACCCAGGCCCAACCACTCATCAGACAGGCAAGTCTGATGACTGCTCAGACAAGCCTGTCTGTGCACTTGTCAGACAAGCCTGTCTGATTGAATGTTTTATGCAGTGCAAGTCTCATGACTTCAATCTGGTGCTTTGAAGCTCTGGGATCCAAAACAAGCAGCCAAAAATAACGGTCCACCCACTGTACATACAATTAAAATAATAAAGTATACTATTTAAATAAGTGGAAACACTATAATAGTGAAATTATTACACAGTACACTTACATTGTAATATTTCATAAGAAAAACGTTCAAAAATTAAATAAATAATGAAAAATAACATTTTTAACCAGAATCTCCTAATAACTTCTGAACCTTAAATATAACTCAGAATATTATTTCAGATTTTGAATCTAAATGCAAAATAACCTAGGGCAGCTCACCAAGTGTACCCCTGAATTATTACTTCTTCACTTACTTTGTAGTCCTTGAGTGATATTGGACCAAAATACACTGTAGACCCCTCCAGTTACATCATACTACATGTTGTAAGGGGGCTACATGTGTAATTAATATTCATGAAGTTCAGGAAAGATCTACAAACAAGGTTTACATCATTGAAACCTTAACTACATGAGCACAGACTACAGTATTAAATTGTTTGGGATGATCTGTGGCCCTTTTTGGCCCAATTGGGACAATTACTCTCTTGAGGATCAACCCATGCATCATGCAGTGCTGAAATAGGCTACAGAAGTGGTTACAAGCCTTACATCATCTCCTTGACACCTGTAACCAAGCTCTACAGGTGCTACAGATGATCAAAAGCTCCCATAGGCTTAGTAGGAGAGTTGTAGCAACTAGAGAGACTCCTGAGTTTGCCTCCAGAGGACCAGAATGGGTATTTAAGAGCCCCTTCTTCCCCCTGAACTTTGATTCCCCATCTTCATCAGTACTTACCAGCATAAACTGTCACCAACATCCAGTTTCCACCTGCCTTTTGGCCCAGTTCCTGCTGTTATCAACCTGAAATTCCATCAACCATCCAACACCTGTTCCCCAGCACTCTTCCACCACCTCTCAACCACCTTTCTGAGCACCTCAAGAACAGTCCCCCTCTCCTGAAGACTTCCTTGGCTTAGAGATAAGTACCAGTAAGTATTATCTCTTTATTTCTTCAGTAGTAGACATTTTCTGGGTTTACTCCTTTATTATAGAGGACCAGAACTTCAGTACCACTCTTGCAACTCAGGACCTGAAATAAAGGGCACAGTCAAAAACCCCTGTAACTCAGGCCCCTCTGTAAATAAAAACTTAATAGTTTTTATTTACTTTTTCTTTTATTACCAAACCTCCCCCACTTTTCACATGTCACCCACACGTGTAAATATCTTATTATACCTTTTGCACCTAGTGTAGCTAGAGGAGTTTTGGCTCTTGGCATCTCTCAGGCTGACAAGTATCCCCAAGGAGTGGGACAAATACACTCTGGTTGGCAACAAGCTCCCCATGTGGCACACCGACCTTGCCAGTCACACATTCGAGGTATTCAAGCGGAAGATCATCAGGTTGCTCACACCCACTCGTAGGCACTTTGATTGCTTGTTGAAGGCAGAGATGGCTAAGGGGAGGATCAACTGGCAGTTTATTATTGTGAATAGTTTTTACTTTGGCCATGGTAAGTGTCAGCCTTAGAGCCAGCCAAGCTGGCCAAAAGACTGCCAAAATTGCCCATTTCTATTCTAAATATTATCTTATCTTTTTTGTCTTAAGAATTTTAATCTTTTTGACTTCAGAAATGGATTCCTGGTGTAAAATTAACCCTAGTCACCACTGATCACTTTTACTCAACTCCATTCCTTCATTGACTTTGTAATAGTTCACAGTACTTCAGGAATTCCCCCAGCCCTCAGGTTTCAGCTCCCTCTACCACATGTACATACCAGATTACATAATTCAAGTTTGAAAATCCTCTCTGAGCTTTTTGATTCCACTTCCAGAGGATTTTCAGACTCCAGACCAACACAGAACACCAACAACCAGACCCAGATCAAGCAAACACTTATCCATCAGAAGTACCTCACTTTTCCTACCTTTCCCACTACCCAGTGTCATTGGTATCATTAGTAAGTCTCTTCTCATAAGTTAAGCTAGCATCTTTCTGCTTGTTTCTCTTCTCTGTCTCTCTCAGTTTCTCTTCATTCCTCATCAAACCAAAGCCCTGATCAAAGAAAGCAAGCTCTAGCTTCTACTATCTCAAATTCTTCCTGTTTGGTAGTACAACTGAAAACTACATAGGTTTCCCTTTAAAGAGCCTTGATCTTTGATCTAAAAAATTGTGGTTGACCTGATTCTTCAGTGTCAATAACCCATTTCAGTTTCTGTTGATTTGGGGTGTCAGAGTTAGCTCCGCTTATAACAGCCATCCTGCTAAGGAAAGTAAGACTGTCAGCAGCCATCCAAAAGAGACAGTAAGAATGCCAGAACTTAAATCATCCTCTCAAAATAAATAAAAGAACAAAAATATTCTTATTTCTTTCACTCTCCCTCTTCTCTTCCTCTTACTTTTATTTGTATTCCTCTTCTCCTAAGAAATACATATAAAAGTGCCCCCCATATCTTGTGTCCTGCTGTCACTATAGAGACACAGGCTCACAGTAAGGGGTTTGTGGTGACCTAATGGGAATATTATGAGGATTTTGTGGCAGCAGTGGGCAACCACCCAACCAAGAAGATCCTGGTCAAGTTGTGGATGCGCAACCCAGATCAGAAGGAAAAAGATCAGGCAGTGGTACGTGTGATGCATCTTTCCTGTTTGTTTGGGTGGCATGTGCTCATCCCACTTTTAAATCCTTCAGTCGCTCAGGCGTAACAGCAGGAAGATAATTTGACATTCAACTATGGCAATGAGCCCAAGCAGCTCAGACTCAAAGCCGAACAGGCCCGTGAGCTTGCAAATGTGTGTCTATGTTTGTTTGTCGGCCATTTGCCCTTGGATCCTGCTAACCCGGCTCCCATTTGCAGCCAAAGGCCAATAAGTCCAAGGATCCCGTGATACCGTTGATTGCCGACCTCATGGCTCACATATTGGCAAGGTTTGGCCGCAACAACAAGCAGATGTGGATAGAGAACCCTGAGGACAATACAGAAAGCATGCACATTAACAACAATTGACTTTGGACCTGGGCTCGGACCTTTTTGCATGCTAAAAACCCCGCTATTGACATGGACAACCCCCCGGATACCAACAAGTTTGTCTAGGTCAAAAGGTTCACCCCAAAAGTAGACAGCCTCCAGATGATTGCCTCCAAGGGGAAAGGGAAGGCCGCAAGGGCAGGCCCCAGCGTAGGCAAGAACACTGAACACATGTCCATGTCGAGTCTGACATCAGCCAAGGCGAGCCGACATATTGTCACCCCTGTGAATCAACACCAAGTTCCAAATAAGGATCTCAAGGCTATTGTTCCTTTAACAACGGAGTTGGAGTCAGAATTCAAGGTTCTAATTCAAGAACCCTCCCTGAATGATGATTTAGGGGGATCTACCCCTATTGACATGGGGAGAGATGGCTCCCCGGCTAGGAAATATCTTTGTAGCCCAAGCAACAAAATGGTTGGTGATGCGCTCAGCAAGCTGTTGTTCAGGCAACACAAGAGTAGCACTGGCGTTTCCAGTGATGCTTCACCACCTCGTAAGCGAGGTCCCCAACCTCATCAGGACATTTGCGTTGAGCCAAAACCTCAAAAGTTATCCCACCTGGGCCGGATAATGACCATGGACCAATTCTCGACCATTGCGCCTTCTCTGCAACAAACATGGTCCCCAGGGGGATGATCCAGATCAACCACATTGAGCACTGGAGCTTGTTCCTCACCCTGACCATTGCAGGGTTGATTCGTCTGCATTTTCCAGAGGCCACGGCTTGACAGATAAAATATGGTATTGCCACCTTGGATGATGACATGTTTGACGACTCAAACTGATTGGGTGCAATTCCTCCGACCCAGGCCTATTTTTCATCCTATCTCTCATATTGTATCTTCCTTTCACTGATGCGGTGCAAGTCCTCCCACCCACAGACCTGATTTATATGCTATATCTCTCATATCATATCTGCATTTCCTTAGGGACCCAACCTCATTAAAACTTCTACAGTTGTAAATAGTATGGGCACTTAGATTCTCACTCCGGTGCTGTTCTATTGGCAGCAATTGAATATGTACAGTGCCTAGACAGTGAAAAGTGGCTGCCTATTTTGGATTCCAGAGCTTCAGAGCACAAATTTGAAATCATGAGACTTGGTCAGGTGGTGCATAATAGGTCCCGAAAAATGAATATTAAATAATAAAAGCAAAAAATAAAGTTTCAAAATTTGTGAAAAATAAAAAACAAAATTGATTTTTTTTCAAAAGCTTTGATATCCATTTTGGGGGAGTGGGAGTGCTGAGAGAAAGAAAGATTGGGAAATGAGAAGAATGATTATGAATGAAAATTTTGGCAAAACTGGTTTTCAGAGGGCTTCAAACAGCTATTCAGTGGGGCATTCACCAGCCCACATTGCAGCAAAGCACTAGAATTTACTGTTTTTGTTAAAATTAACAATGCATTTTGCAGACAGTTAGCATAAAATGATTGACTTGGGCAGGATTTGAACCAGAGACCTTAGCTTGAAGCTAAGACACTATACTAGAAGTGCTTCCTTTACCAACTAGGCTACCAAGTCCATGGCTGATGTGCTGATATTAGAACACTGTGGATTACAGAATTTCAACAGTTTTGGCTCCAATCTGGACCACCAACCTGGCCAAACCTTTTTTGGTTCCAATTTTTTTCATTTATAATCATTCTTTCCATGTTCCATTCTTTCTTTCTCTCAGCACTCCCACTCCCTCAAAATGAATATTAAAGCTTTTGAAAAAAATTGAGTTTATTTTTTATTTTTCACACATTTTCAAACTTTATTTTTTGCTTTTATTATTTCATATTCATTTTTTGGGAGCTATTATGCACGACCTGACCAAGTCTTATGACTTCAAGTCTGTGTTTCAGAACTCTGGAATCCAAAATAAGCAGCCACTTTTCACTGTCTACCCACTGTACATAGCATTTTCACTAGATTGAAATACAAACTGATATTGGACTCACTGACAAGTGAGTTCATGAGAACACAATTTCCTGATGCACCAATGATGAGCAGTCATGCAACTCATTGTTTATGTGGTTCTTTCAACACAGACACTGTCTTGGCACAAGGACATGGTCTTAGGTTTTGTCCATTTTGGGCTAGATTTGGGGACTCTGAATACGGGGGTGAGGCCACTACGGTCTGATGAATACTCATGATTGCAATCTAGCAAGAGAACACTGTCAAAAACAAGGGTGGAGTAGGCACACATGCAAGAGGCCGGTGTGGTAATTAAATATGTAAAAAAATTCAAAGTTTTTTTCTTTATATACATTTTTCTCATACATCCAGCCAGAAATCAGCCAATATGGCTTCAGAAATTGATTCTACGGACAATTTCAGCCTAGGTCACCACTAGACGCATCAATGGAACCCTCACAGATTGGAAGTTACACCCCCACAGACACATATCACAAGGCCAAAACCCAATCAAGCACATGTCACACCCCTCAAACCACCTCTCAGTTATGCTTATACACAGCTTACGGTATACACATACACATCATCCCTGACATGATTTCCCAGATGGGAAATCTTGTAAATTTTAGGGAAATCCTGTAAAAAAAATAAAGATTTTTACAGATTGTTTAGATTTTTATAAATTTTTTGGATTTTCCAGATTCTTTAGATTTTTTCAGATTTTTTTACATTTTTCTAGATTTCCTAGACTTTTCTAATTTTTTTAGATTTTTCCAGATTTTATTACTAAGAGACATCTATAAAGTTGAAAAAATCTGAAAAAATCTGAAAAAAAATAAACAAAACCGGAAAAATTAGAAAAAGGGCCTTATAAATAAAAAAACACGGGTTTTGCGTGTTTACACGCGGTTTTGCTGCAGCACAGCACACACGGTTTCCGCATTTAAACACGGTTTTGTAATTAATTTTTTACCGCTTATTTTGTGAGTTTTTTTGAATTTTTAAAAAATTTTCCTACACTTTGAAGGGTGTAGAATTTAATGGTAAAGTCCATTTACCATAAAAATGACTTTGATTTTTTTTTTCTGCTCACTCATATGTACAATTAACTGTTACTGGCTTGTTTTTCATTATTTTTTGATATTGTAAATTTGATTCCTACACTTTGAAAGGTTTAGAATTCAATGGTAATAATTATATTGCATAAAAATGAATTGTATGCCTTGTAATTTTTTTTCCCGCTCATTTTTCCTATTAATTGTTACCGGCTTGTTTTTAATTCTTTCTTGACTTTGTAAATTTGTTTCCTACACTTTTAAAGGTGTAGAATTGAATGGTAACATTTATTTTGCTTAAAAAGGAGTTCTTTGCCTGTTAAGTTTGGCTCCCACTCATTTTATTGATGCAAGCACGGTGGAAAGTTCCCAGTGGTTATTCAACCTTCCAAACTTGAATTTCTCAATGGAAAAAAGACACAAAGTTCTATAATATTCTAATGAGGCCAAATTTAAATTTTCAAAAGAGTGTGGGAATAAACAAGCGTAGTTTGGATTTTAAAAGGGACACAAGCAGGAAATCAGAGGAAGGTATGGAGGACAGTAATTCAAAAATTAATCAACATCAACAGGATCCTTTTTGAAGCGTGTAGATCTTCTGAGAGGGGGGTACAAGACTTCTTTACCCAGGTCAGTGTGGGCTAGAATATAATCCTCCCAACCCTGCGCTTCATCGCTGACATAGTGTCTCCAAAATGCATCAATCCTGGGGCATGGTCATATTTCAGCCTTGAAAGTGAACGGGATGAAATGAGAGTAGTCAGGTAAGAGGATCAGACAGATGGGAGGTTTGTTTCTTTGGCTATGCAAAAGAGGAAGATAAGTCGCAGGCATCTTTTCCGATAATAAAATAACTGGTCTTTGGTACGTATCAGCAATTAAATAACTGTGCGCAGGGAACATCATCCAGTACTTGAGGGGGGCTTGCTGTTCCTTGTCTCTCCATGCAAGAGAATTGATGATGTCTTTTTGTTTTTCCCCTGCTCCCCATACGTTATCCAAAAACGTTTTGTCTGAATAGACCTTGTTTGACTCGAATTCCTTCTGCATTTCCTTGCGGATTGAGTCCCATTCTTCAGACTGGCGTCCCAAGCTGGCTGCAACCGCTCGGAAGCCACAATTTCCATAACCCTTGACATTGTGAATGTGTAATATGTGTGGGATTGCCCCAGCGGGCTTGATGCTGTCTTTGTACTCATACTAAAAAAAGTTCAAGAGGGAAACAGGGGGGATGAACAATGAGAAAAAGGGGTAAGTAGATAAGTTACTCACAAGATCAATCTCCACATTCTTGTTTGTACTCCAAGTCAGTCCCTCGCTCAAAGGAGGTTTGTCAGGTTTGTCCACTTCGGTGATGGGTTCTGGTTGTTGCTTGACCACTCTGATTGGCCTAATTCGCAAGGGCGTCTTGACAGTTGGGGGATTTGGTTCTTCTTCCGAATGCTCCTCTTTGTTGAATATATTTTCACATAGGGCTCCAATTCCATCTAAAGCATCATCCTCACTCTCCTCGTTGGTTTCCATGGCCTACGCAAAAATGAATCAGAAGCAGGAAAAATCTTCAGAAGGATATAAAAAATGCACACCTCTGACTCATCCGTCTCATCCTTTTTGGCCGGTTTCTTCCTTGGTCGCCCAGGTTTGCGCTTGGGCCCCTCGTCCAATTCGGCCACCTTCTTTGGCCTGCCTTGTTTCTTCTTCTGCCCCTAGATGTACTCAAATCCAGATGGGTCCCTCTTGGTTGAAGACGTCGATTTGTGTTTCCGTTTGGAGCCTTTGGGTTGGCCCTTGAATCAATGGTTCTTGTCAAACTTGGGTTCCTCGAGAGGAATGGTTTCATGTGTTCCGTCAAGCAGTTTGTGAAGTTCGCCTAACATGAAGTGTTGTTCGCCAGGTTGAAGGGATTGGAATTTTTCAAAAACCTCGCTGAGGAACGCGTCTTCATGGCTCTTCTGCTGTGTCTCCGTGGCATATTGGTTGTCACTAAGTTGCACCTGTCAAATGATCAGATGAATGAACAAAATAAATCAGATACCTTGTGCAAATTTTGTTTGGATCCTCTTGATGATAAACAAATAAGGAACTTACAGCTAGATCACTCTTGATGTGCCACTGAGCATGGAAATCATCTGCGATGAACTTTGTCCCCTCGCGTTTGGCATTGTGGACTTGGTGGATGCAAGGAATCCCCATGGAAGATGAGTCGTTACCTGTACATGTGGTCGTCAGAGGCTTGGCCAAGTGAAATGAGTAAACAATCTTCAAGGCAAAGTGGGAGATGATTCCGTTAAGATTGGTGATCAACGGAGGCAGGCCGGTAAGTCTTTTGTATTGATGCTGCGCGGACTCAATGTATCTTTTGTGGAGCTGGTTGTCAATGGCCTGGTGAATTTGCTTGACTACTGCTGCAAAGGAGCCTGTTGAGGAGT